TATTCAGAGGTTTAATTATTGCACTATTTCATTTTAGAGATCTAAAGTGCTCTTCTGGTTCACTGCTGGCCAGCTGCAGGACTGATGTTTGAATTCTGAAGTTTTTGTGGCACTTTAATGCATTCCAGTAGTTTAATTAAGGCATTCTTTCCTAATATAAATTTTGTAAAATTTGTGGTTTTCAGCCTTTCTTAAACAGCCTTCCTTTCAAAGAGTGGAAGAGGCTTATGTTGACCAATACAGATTGTACTTGGGTTAGGATTTCAGTTTGGCTCCAGAGCCTCCACTTGACCCAGTCTCCTGATTGTTCCTGTACTGTGCTTTGATTTATATCATGAGGTGGTTTTGGAGCACACAAACTGGTTTACTTTTTGGTGAAAGTAAATTGAAATATGTAATCTCAAAGCCAGTGAGCATTCAGTCCACTGGGCTAGAGCAGAGCTAGTCTGAAACATAAGAAAAAATGCCTCCCCTCCTTCCTGCCCCGCAAATGTGTGTAGAGCAGACATCAGGTCCTCGGTACTCAGTTTTGGTGAGTAGATGGTGATGTGTAGAAGGACACCACAGTGATGCAGGTTTCCCCATAACTGACCATAACTCCCCAGTCTCCATCGTCACTGAAATTTCTTCACTGAAAGGGTTGTCAGGCATTGGAACAGGCTGTCCAGGGAAGTCACTGAGTCACCACCCCTGCAGGTATTTAAAAGACATGTAGACATGGCACTGAGGGACGTAGTTTGGTGGTGTACTTGGTAGCGTTAGGTTAATGGTTGGACTCAGTGATCTTAGGGGTCTTTTCCAACAGAAGTGGTTCTATGATTATCTCCCCTGGAGAGAAGCAAGGAGATAGAAGAGTTGGGAATGAAGGACTGAAGTTGCATCTGGGAAGAAGGGGAGTGTAGGGAGGAGGTCTTTCTCACCATCCTCTCTTTTTTTTTTTTTAAGTGGCTATAAATTTAATTTTCCCCAAGTCTGCTTTGCCTGTGATGGTAATTGGTAAGTGATCCTACTTTCAACCTGTGAGCCTTTTCATTTTATTTTGACTCCCCGTTCTGTTGAGGAGGGAGAGAGAGAGCGGTTGGGTGGGCATCCAACAGCCAGCCAAAGTCAACCCACCATACTTGTGCACCTATAGTATCTAGTTCAACTTAAAAAAAGAAATTGAATTATTCTTTCAACCTTCTTTAAAACATACTATTGATTTAAATAGTTCATTTTGTTTCTGTTATGAACGTGAATAAGAGTTTAGCTATCACATTTTGTGATACAGTAGCAGCACCTTGGTTTACCATCTTTTTTTTAAAAAGATGAAGTTAAAACTCTCCCTTAGTCCACTGTCACCAGAGGCATACAAATCTACTTCTTCCTCCAGATCTCTAGTGCAGTGGTTCAACGCTCTGTAACAGGATTACTTGCCTGCTCCTGCCCTGCAATGCTTTGTTTGTTGTGCCAGCAGTGTTCTGAATGGGATTGGGAAACCAATCCAGCTGAATATTCTTCCTCCTGGCTGTTTTCCAGCCGTGTATGTTTCTTGATCCAGTTTACAGCTCAGCTCTGCAAAAACCTTTTGCTGGCATAGCGGAAAGAATGGAGCAGCATGGTCAGGTGAGGCATTCAGTGAAGTGGGTGTTGCTGCTGGAATCATGTGTCAGGGAATGGATGAAGAAAGGCTATATCTACTGAGGTGGTGTGTGGGGATCAGTGAGATAGAGACGTGACTCTCTTGATCAGAGACTCCAAATACAGACATTTACTGTTCTCTTTTAAGTCTCAGACGCTATAGTTAGTAAAGTGACTTTTGAGTCAAATACAGTTTGTTTTTTTTTTTTTTCTTGATCTTCCTAAGGAAGTTTTTCTGAGTTTTTCCACAGCAGCTTTTGCCTTAATGGCTAGAAATATTTAGTTTTTATTTAAGTTTATTGTGAGATGACCAAGTTCTGTATTACATGAGTCCTGATTATACCTCTCTTTCGCATTCTTCCCTGCTGTTTAGACAGATTGAAGAATCTTGCAGCATTTAATTCCTTGGTCCTTTTACACCCAGAATATAAATGTGATCCTTGGCAAGCTTCTTTCCTAAAGTGCGGCAACTGTTAAAAAAAAAATCCAAAGATGTGTATTTTCTCTGTTTCTATGTGAAATACCAATTTAGCAATCAATTTTTTAAAAAAAAAAAATACCATCCTTCAACTCCAAGCACCATAACTAGTTAGATTTTTTTTTTTTTTAAGTAAGGCAACAAAACACTGACAGGTTATCCGTGTTCTTGAAATGCACCTGCTCTCGAAGGCTAACAAAAAAACAGTAAAATGGTTCGATACAGTTCATAGCAGTGAGGCAGCCACCACAAGATCATAGCTAATACTATCTTATTGAGTGTTACAGGTAACCAACGGATACCAGACGTTAAAGTCCTAGTGTACGTGACAAGATATATCGCTTTCTCTTTGATGTTAACCCACCGTGTTGGGAATAAGGTCATCAGTGGAGTTGTGGGGGGCACAAAATGTATGGATGTTTTCCAAGTTCTTGTTTTGTAGGAAAACTGCATTTTTAGTTGTTGTTGCCAGGCAGCAAATACTTTTTAAATGTAGAAGGCTAGTTAAAAAGAACTATTCTGGTATATGAGGTGTGTTGTCTGGCAGTTGGAGTTGGCAAATAACATTATGGGTTATAGGACTTGACTGAGCTAGACCTTCAAAATTTCAGCACAGACTTTGTGGTTAAAGTATGGATGCTGCCTTAGTCATGAACCACAGCAGGAATTACAGTGATCATTTAGTACAACATCAGCAGTTTCAGGGTTTTTTGTTGTCACCGAAGGCTTTGACTGCCCTGAAGAGCTGCTCAGATCTCTGTGGAGTTATGTGCAGTCTTTGCTACAAATGTGTTACCTTTCTCTAGCCTTATCTAAATATCTATTCCAGTGTTCTTGCATCAGAAAATTTTTTTAGTCATGAGGCCAGAAATCTTCCTAAATACGTCTGTAATCAAGTCTGGAAGAGGGTGGGGTGAGGAGCTTGCTTAGTTAAGAGACATGAACACGAGATGATTTTGCTGGCATTCAGAGGGACCTTGACAGGCTGGAGAAATGGGCCAACAGCAATCTCATGTAATTCAACAAAGGGAAAAGCTGAACCCTGCACCTGAGAAGGAGTAACCTCTGCACCAGTACAAGCTGGGGATAACTGGCTGGAGAGCAGCTATACAGGAAAGGACCTGAGTGTCCCAGTGGACAACCAAGTGAATATGAGCCAGCAATGTGCCCTTATGGCAATGAAGGCCAGTGATATCCTCGGCTGTGTTAGGAGGAGTGTTGCCAGCAGGTTGAGTGAGGTGATCCTTCCCCTCAGTGCTGGTGAGGACGTACCTGGATTAATGGAATCCAGTTCTGGGGTCCCCAGTGCAAGAGAGGTGGACGTACTGAGTGTGTCAAGTGAAGGGCTGCAAATGTGTTTTAAGGGATCTTAGGGCATCTGATATGAGGAGAGGCTAAGGGATGTGGTGGTGTTTAGCCTGGAGAAGAGAAGGCTCAGGAGGATCTTAAGAGTATAAATACCTGATAGAGGTTGTAAAGAGGGTGGAGGCAGGCTCTTTTCAGTGGTGTGAAGTGACAGGTCAATAGTCAGTGGGCACAAATTGTAGTACAGAATGTTCCACTTAAGCATAAGAAGAAACAGTTTTGCTGTAGGGATGATTGAACACTGGAACAGGCTGTGTTGTGGTGTCTGCCTTCTTGGAGGTGCTCAAAACCTGGCTGGATATGGTCCTGGGTAGCCAGCTCTAGTTTACCTTGCTTTGAGCAGTGGTGGTTGGAGAAGACAATCTCCAGTGGTTACTTCCAACCTCAGCTTTTACGTGATTCTGTGAAATGATCAGACAAGAAGGCATTTCCTTCAGTTTTGCCTTTCCAACTGCTGATTTTTCTTCACTATGGGTGGATCAGCTGTTGGACACAAGTGACTAATAGGTTTATAGTGAGTTTGGCAGTCATTTCTGAAAGCATTCCTTCTGGAGGGGACAAAACCTGTTCATTTTCCTCACTAATTTGAGTGATCTTGTGTTTTGCCTATTTTTTCTTAAGGGTGAATGACTGGGAAAACTCTGTTACTCCAGCCTTGTAGTGCTCATTTTTATCTTGTGCTACAGACTGAATACCAATGCTTCTCTATTCTATTGCTCAATTTTTTCCAAACAGCAGCAGATTTTTTTTTTCCAAATAAACTTGTGGCTGTTCATGGTATTCAGAATGCATGGATGGAAACTGTCTGTGACTGATCACTTTCACTCTGCCTTAGCTTGGCAAAGCTGTAGGAGTAAGTAGTCTTGAGAACTCGGTTTTTGTGGAAGGCTGGGCAGAGAACATGCTGGTGGGTTACATATGGTATGTCTTTGTCACATTCTTTTCAAAAAACACCAACATATAAAGCACTAAAACTCTTCAAAAAAGGTAACAGGTTTTCATGATGCTGATTGCGTCTACCTAAGAGAGCTTAACTTTTTCCTATATAAAAAAGAATAGAGATAAGCACTTGCCTTTTCCACTGTACAAAATGTGTAAGTCAAACCAATGATTTTCAAACTGTCATGAACAGAGTAGTCTTTGTGGAATAACATGTGTTAATAGTCTTAATCCAGAGATAAAATTCCAGATTGTCTGTATGTTTTAGTATACACATTTCTGACTCATTATCTTGTAGTTAAAGATCTTAAAATTTTCTGATTTGTATAAATGGAAAAAAACAAACAGCTCTATCAGCTTGAAAAGCTGAGAAAAGATAGAACTTTTTAGGAACAGACTGAGAACTGAAGATAATGAGGCAAAGTCCAGTATCTTTTCCTTTCAGTTGTATAGGCTGATAGGGTATCACTATCAGCCTTTCTTTATTGTTAACTTTTTAGTAAATGGTTTCAAATTATAATGGTGTGCAATAGAAATCCGTGTAGTGATGTAATAAAGTTAAATTGGTTTTGGTTGTTTTTTTTTCTTTTTCCCACAGGTATCAAGCATGATGGGACTATGTGTGATACTTGTCGACAACAACCCATCATTGGCATCCGATGGAAATGTGCTGAATGCACAAATTATGATTTGTGCACAGTTTGCTATCATGGGGACAAACATCACTTGAGGCATCGTTTTTATAGAATTACCACACCAGGAAGCGAGAGGTAAAATGTAGTTTTTCCCCCATGAAATTAAATAGGAACAGTTAATTGTGGTTAGCTTTTAAACTGCAGGTTTGCTTACTGGAGCTTGGATTAGGTGGCTTGAGCTGTAGATTCTGTGACTGGTTCTGCCTCTTTGTGAGCTAGGGTAACTGGGACAGAACTTTGGAGATTAGAAAACATGGAAATTTCTGAAAGAATGGAATAGAGAAAAAAGTTAGGATATGATTATTCAATTTCTTTTAACCTCATTGCAGTCTTCCTGGTTCTTGTTTTATCATATAGCATCTTTAAAACAAAGGAAATTATCTTTACACAATGTATAATCACAATATGATTTGTCAATGAATCCCTGACTCTGAAAGTTTAATTAGGTTCAAAAATGGTATAGACAGATTGAGGAGGAAAATACTCTCCTCCTGGGCTATGGAAACCAGAATGATCTGGAGACAAAACTTTGACTTGAACTGCTTAAACTGATCACTACAGAAAACAGAGAAAAGATGCTGTGAAGGGTTGTTCTACCCTTGCCTTGTTTTCCATGTTCTTTCTTAAGCATGTATTATTGTCTCTGAGCTAAAAGCTCAGAGCAAAATTGGCATATAGTGTTCTTGCATAGCTCTTCTTGTGTTCTTTACTTTAAATAACTTGCCTAAATCCAAAGCCCCTCTCTGTCATGGTTTATGTACCAGTTAAGTGAGAACAGTAGTATTTGCCTGTGACTAAATACTGGGAGAGTTATGGTAAAGCATTGTGTAAAGGCTGCATGCTGTGGTATCACCTCTGTGATAGCTCCACAGAATGTTCTTTCATTAAATCTTTGGAAGCTTTTTTTTGTTAGATGTGATACTCAGTTAAATGCGAGGTGTGTAAGACAACATTTATTTTCTCTTCTTGGAGAAGTAAGGTTTACAAATATGTTGTAATTTGGTGATGTGCTTTTATCAGTGCTTTTACAGTTAAGGGAAGACAGACTGAGTCCTTGTATGGTTTCTTGTAGGGACAGTGTTTATTTTCTCAAATGTTTGCCTTGAAGTTTAACTATAGCTTAAATGCCCAGGTCAGCGTGTTAATCAAAAGATAATTTCTGTTTTTTTGAGATTCATGCCAGCAGATGTCGGTACCAAACCTATATCGTAAGCTTAGTGTCTCAGTTATTATGTTTGATGCACAACAAGACCTAGAAGTTAGATCCAAGAGTAGAAAGTGGTGGCTTAGTGCTATTAATAGAGAATAGGTAACAATACAAATCTGTTTTTCTATGTATTCCTTTTTAAAAAATCTCATTGATTTTGAGAATGCTTGCCAGACTGTTTTTTTTTCTTTTTAGCTGAAGTTTACTTCATAGTTTTAAGTGGTCTGTTACGGTATATAAAGCATAAGTTTTAGTTCTGGCGGTAGATCGTACACAATGCATAGAATTGCAGGAAATCTTTTGCATTTTGTCACTTTCTCCCTATCTGTGTTTACCCACAGTGATCTCTCTTTTGCAACTCTTCCTAGAAGGCAGCTTCACCTGACAAGGAGCTGTTTCTATTGGATCAAGCTTAGCTGAGAAAAATTGATTAAAGTTAACTATCTGAGGGAAGAGAAAAGGGCAAAGTGGTGCTATTAAATTTGAGGGGTATCTCAGGAAAAATGGCAAGAGGCATCTAGTGATGTTCGGATGAAGGAAAGCATAAGCTCTACCTATTTTATTCTTGAGTCTGGGATATCATACGGGCAGCATACCAAAGTAATGTATGCTGGCTTTTGTCTCAGTTTTGTAGGTGTTGAGGACATTCTAAAACGCTGCTATAAACAACGTATCTTTGTTTTCTATCACTCTTTTATATTACTTAGATAAAAATGTCTAATATTTTCAAGTGGTCTTTGCACCGATTCTAAGGGTTTAACTTTTTCCTTGTCTGCCATCTGCTGGATCTCAAAAGTTTAGCAGGAGGGTGATAAATTCCTGAAGTGGTCAGGAAACATTCTGAATTTCAGCTGAAAAATACTTATGTCTGGCAGCATTTTCCTGGCATGAAGTAAGAAATCTGGTTGCATGCAGCCTGGTGGCTGTTGAGATGACTGAAAAGTCAGGAAAATGTTTGTCTCTTTATTTCTAGTTGTAAGTTAAATACTCATGAACTGTTGTGTTTGGGCTTATCAACTTCAGTTCTGTTGAAGTCAGAGGGAAAGAAGAGGTTTTCTTTAGAAAAATAACATATTACGACTAAAAAAGTAGATACTGATAAATGAAATTTGCCAAGATACAATATAGGAAGTGTGTAAAAAAATAAACTGAGACATGGAGGGGAAAGAAATGTAGCTCTTACTTAATCACATAATTCTGAATAAAATGGCAGGGCAATTGTGGCACAGTAATATTTGCCTAAGGTACATCTAAGAGAAACAGAAATGTGTTGTTTATATGACGCTGTATGTTTCTTCAATGATTTTAATATAAATGCAGATCTGTATGTAAGTGATTGCAAGAATACTGCTGGTAGTAGGAAGTTTGGAGAAGAAATTATCATATAGAATTAAAAACTAATTATAAACATATAACAAAAACTCAGATTTGGGAAGATCATGGTTTTTACCTTGTGGGCTGCTGTTCAAGTTGAGAATTGAATGGATGTGTTTCATGCACTGAAATCTGTGTTTGTGGGGTTATTTTTGTTTCAAGATGCTCTCCTTCTTTCCCATCCCCAAAGATTCATTTTGGACTTCATTATCTTGACATTTGTGGGTTCTTTTTTTAATAACTTCAGGGTATTGTTGGAGTCTCGCCGTAAATCAAAGAAAATTACAGCAAGAGGAATCTTTGCAGGTGCCAGGGTGGTGCGAGGAGTTGACTGGCAATGGGAAGATCAAGATGGTGGAAATGGGCGTAGAGGAAAGGTAAACTAAAACTGGTTTAAATAAGAAGATGCATTTCTGCAAGCTCATGTAGTGGCCTCAGTGGCCTTTCTAATTGTAGAGTAAAAATGTCATCATAAAAGTTACTATTTTAATTTGCTGGATGTTTTCAAATCTTATTCTCTAATGCTCAAGCATTTAAAAAGAAGAGGGGATGTATGCGGTGACCAGTCCTTTTCAATGTAAATTCACATTTTTATAATACCATCACAAAATAAGACTACTAAATTTTTGTCTTGGTCAGTCTGTTTAAGACTGGCTTGTAACAACATTAAGATCTTGGGCATATTTCAGCATTACTAGAGAGCTGGTATAAAAACAGAGCTCTCAAGTATAGCCCTTTCTGGTCACCACTGCATCCTGTAGTCTTACTGCTTGTGGGTCAGCACATTGGTGTAACTCTTGCCCTTCATTTTCAGTGCTTGCACCCTGGATTTTTGTTTTTCATGTAATAATTACAAGGACTTTTCAGGTTTAAAATTAAAAATGTTGCAAATGTTTGATGTGGATATTATATTACCAGTTTAGGGTATTATATGAGTGTTTTTTATATAGTTGTATAATAAAAATATTTTGATTTACTGAAAATTGCATGGAATGATATGTTGCTAATCATAGACTTTGCAGATTTTTTTAGTTATAACTTAAATTTACATTGAGAACTAATGAAGGCTTGTTTTAATTATGAACACACAGCAGGGAGTGTAAAATATTACAATGACTTTTATCACCAAATACGACATGTTCTAGAAAGAGAATTGGATGCCCTTACTATCTTGATTAAATGCAACAAAAAACACCAGTTCTTCTTAGTACACTGAAGCAGCATTTGAAAGAAAGTGAAACGTTCCTGAATAAGTTATTTATCCTGTTTTATATCCTAGATATTTATGGAAGCTTTAGGCCTTTTGGGGATTTAATTTTGGATTTTATTGAGAGGGAACAATAAATTTAAATCACTTAAAGCAAGGAATATTCAGATAAAGCGTTTTTCATTTTGATTGTTTACCCTTTGCTGTGAATTTGACAATATATTTTGAAATCTCTGAAACTTTGCAAAGAGTCTTATTCTGCATTGTCTGCTTTATGTACTAAGCTTGTATTAGTGGGATTATTTGCAAGCTCAAAGTATGTATAAATGCAAATAAATTTTTTTAACGAGGAAAAGCAGATAGTAGCAGAAATAGCTTTTAAATAACTACAAATAAGAATTAAGACAAATTCTGGAATTTATTTTTTGACTAATGGAAGTGTTTTCAGAATTTGGTTCATGACCTCATGATTTCAGAAATGTGAGTGAAAAATCCTTTTCATTCTCCTTTAGTACTGTTGTTAAACAGATTGGCTCTGGAAACAAAACTTTGTCTGATAACATACTGTACTGTCACCAGGCTAATAAAGGTTAAATCAGGCAAATTGAAGCAATTAAAATCGTTTTCATCCTGTTTTTCTTTGTTAAATGCTGCATCTAGTAAGAACATGTCAAAGCATCATGAAACAAATTTTTACAGTTCAGATTTTGTTCTCTACTTATGTTGTTAGATTACCTGCCAAATACCAAAAGAAAAATAGGTCTACAAAGTATATATTCAGACTGCCATCTTATTAAGACACCCAAGGAACACTTGAATCAAACAAAAACCAGCTTCAGAATGAATTTTACTAAATTCAGTAAAACTGCTGTATCCTAAATTATTCTGAAGAGATGAATAAGGTTTTAAGTTAAAATTATGCTTAAGTCTTTGTTCTAGAAACAATTTTCTTATTTTTAAAACTGAATAGGTAACTGAAATCCAAGATTGGAGTGCGTCAAGTCCACATAGCGCAGCATATGTTCTTTGGGACAATGGTGCTAAAAACCTTTACAGAGTTGGCTTTGAGGGCATGGTAAGTATAAAAGAACACAAAGTATAAAATGCATGGTGGGGGAAGGGTAGTAAGAATAATTTATGCTTTATTATCCTGCTTTTGTAATATCCTTTGTCCGTTTGCATGCTATTAGTCAGGTCATTGTGAATACAGCTGTATGGAACATGCATATGTATTAGTAAGGAAGTCTGATTTGGGAATTTATAAAACGTGGATAACTTGATGTTAAGGGCTGGTTTCTGCCAAGAGTATAGTAAATGTTTACATTGCATACATGATTATCTTACTGTGAAACTATCGTGTTTAAATTACAATTCAGAAAAGAAAAAGAAGCTTAGTTATAAACTTCGTAAAGACCCCATTTCTTTAACTCCTGAACTCTTCATTTTGCTTCACATTTTGGTGAGATTACTGCAAGATTTGCAGTTTTTAAATTACTGGCAACATTCAGTCCTCCTGAGAGCAAATTTTTTGTCAATGGAAAGGTTTTGAATTAAGCTACAACCTTAATTTGCTTTAGCATTAATTTTTTTTTTTTTCGCTTCCTAGCTTCTACAGCTACTTCTACAGCTTTAGAGAGAAAATGGGTCAGACTCTAGCCTAAATGCCTTCTGTTGCTGTGTTTTCTTATCCTAATGTGGGTCAAGGAAAGGTTACTTTGATTATCAGCTGCATATAACATCTTAATTAGCATTTTCTTTGCATGATTTTTGTTTGATACTGCAGAGGAAAACCATGTTAACTTAACATTGAACTGTCATCTTGTCAGATATGTATTGGTAATAAAATGTTAAACAATGACTAGTGTACTTCTTTGGAAGTAAAGTATTTTGCCTTATAGCCTCACTTGAAATAGTTTATTTTTAAAGTAAAAAAAAAAATACTAAATACCACTTTTTCAGTAAATACATATTTTTGTGTCAGGTTTAAAAAGAGTAAATATCTTTAGTGCAGGTCAGCTTTTCTGATGCATGAAGGTGCTAAGGATAGAATGTAAGTCAGTATTGAACTGTGAGCTTCATGGTCTGTCTGTCCCCACCCCAGTTCTAAAGAAAATTCCTTATATACTGGCAAAAGGGAAAGGAAGTTATATGCAGTATTTTGTAGTATAATATTATTAAACCAATGGTTGGTATCTTCCCCCTTATATTTGGTTGCAATGCATGGAAAAGGAACACAGTTACAAAATCTAGATAGAATGAGTTACAGATCAACTGATTTTTTTGTTGTTCCGATTTCAGTTACTGTTTTAAAATTTGTGAACTGCATAGTAGGAGTGCTGTGAAATCATTATAGATTCCTTCTGGCCTCAGAAAAAATGCATTTAAGATAAGTTGTATTCTGTTCTGAAATAGTTATTTCCTTAATAATAAAAATATACTTATTATTCATAAATCGACTATATTTTGTTGCCAAACTGTTGCCACATAAGGAAGTGTTAAATATTTCTAGGATACTTGATTAACTACTGGAACTATAAATTTGAATGGGTAAGAGTGACCCTTCCCACAAGATTTGTACAAATAGAAATATTCAGTCAGTCATTTAATTAATAATAAAAACTTAAAATATATATGAAACTACATATATCTACATAGTATCTATGTAGGATAATATATAAATAATATATGTACATACCTATGTATAAAAAAGTAATTTGAGGCTTTATATGTAGTGCTTACCTGACTGTAATCCATTTCAACAATAATTTTATCTTTGTCAGATACTTTGTCAAATACAATTTTCACTTCAGATAGAATGATTTATTGGATATCTGTGACAAACAGTCATTTGAATGTGATACTAAATTTTATAACTGATTAATTGCTCACTAAGTGTATAATTCATTGCGATTATTTGCTACTGTTTATGTGCTGTTGTGTAAAGCTGACTAATAGACTGTCAGAAAGTTCATATAAAGTTGAGACAGACTTGTCTCGGGACTTAGAAATTGGTAAAGAGTGTCCGGAGAATGTGACATCAACAATACTCCGAGTGTGTGCCCATGTAAATACAGCTGGGAAGAGACCCCTGCTTGCAAATGAGTAACACTTGACTCAGATGCAAATGGAGCTGATTAAAGAAACACAGCTTACTATTGTAAGTCAGGGTTGCTTGTTTGATAGCTGACAGGCTACATCTGGTCCTCAAAATTAATCTATCTGGCCTGCCAGCTTTTCATTGGGAGAGATGAGGATTGGCTGGTGGGGCAGCAGGTGCTGGCTGAAAACTTGTGTTTATTTGTGCTCGGATCCTTAGAGTTTTTATTTGAGTTTGCTGTTGCTGTGTTTACATATGAAATGGTTGAGAGAAGTGCATCTTGCCTTTCTTTGTGAAGCCTGGTATTTAAATCTGGCAGGTTTTGCTGCCACAGGCCACAAATTCCCAAACTGAAATCTATTTTTATGGTGCTGTTAGGGTGAATAACATGTTTGCTACATCTGCAGTAGGAATAAAGTACTGCTGGCTAATACGTCCAGACTGAGCTGTTAACCACATTACCTACTTTAGAAACATGTAAACATAGCCTTTTGCAGTAAAAAGATACACTGTGTGGAATTAGTGAGCTAATGAGAAGATTGTGATTTGGCTTTTTGGACTTCTTTCTAGTTTTTATTTCTTCTTATCACACAGATGAGGATGTAAAGCTGGTAACTTCCATTGGTTTTCAATATGCAGTATGTTTTACTAATTATTAATATGATGATTTTGCTATAAGAACTTAGGAAAATAGTTCCATTAGCAGGAGTACCCTAAATCAGTTCTGTGATTTAGAAGTTGGTTTTGTGCTACCAAATGTCTTTGTTCTGTACCACTTGCCTTTTTTGCTGTGATTAACCTCCTATTCTTGTTTTTCATTATGGAGGATCTTGCTTTCATCTGTGTAGCCTCTGAAAGAAGGATCTGTAGTTACCATCCGTCAATGTTGCAGTAATCTGTAAGCCATCTGTGTTTGTGTACTTTTTTCATGAACTCTGAATAGTTGAGTGCAGAAGGGAAATTGAGAAGATTCCTTGCCCTTGTGTTTTTGATGCTACTTTAAAGTTTTTATCCTGATTGATACATAATGTCTCTTCTTCAACATTTATTTGGCTTACCCTTTAAAGATAATCATTTAAATTATTCTGGAGGATTTTAAGAATGACTTATTAATACTTTAAAAAAATAAATAAAAAACCCAAGGTAAATGTCTTGGCATACTAAGTATTGTAGGTGAGTGTTATGTTTAGAAATATGCTTTCTGCTGCAGTTACAGCTGTCAGATCTCTAATATAAGTAAACTCTTCAGCGCTCTTTTATCTTGTCCCCAATACATTCAAAAGGAGCATATTTAGGAATGAGCATGAAAATGTTATTTTGCTAGTTTAGTTAGTGTCCTTCTGTTGTTTCTAGGTCCTGATCAAAACTGATTTAAAACACAGAAATATTAATTTTGGCCACTATTACACATGCAACAGGTGTGTTTTATTACATTATTCACAGTGTAGCTGAAGTTAGGTGGTTAGTTGTTTTGGAAGCCAGAGAGGAAGGAGATGTATACCTTGTGCATTTATTTGAATTTGTCAGTAGACTTTGTTTTGCTTCTTGTTTACATAGTCTCATTTCTCTACATTTCTTCTGTAGTCTCAACCAAGCCAAGTTTTCCATCTCTCTATAACTGGGTTGCTTAGAAACATATTTCCATTAAGCAGAAGTGTACTTACTGATCCTTTTCCAGTTTTGTTATTTACAGTATTAACCTACAAGGAAGACTTTTTTTATTAAGGAGGTTCATTTTAAAAAGTTACACATGGGAAGTTTTTATAAATGCCTGCAATCAATAGCCAGTAAGGTTATAAAACTGTCCACTCAGGATATGCGTGAGGTCTTATTTCTTCTGTAAGAAGCTGTTGCTATTGTTTTTATACCTCACACCTCTCATTTCAGTCACTTTCTCTACCGTCTTCTATTTTCTCCTTTTAATGCTTTCTCAGATTCTTGAAACAGAAAATTACTTGAATTCGTTAAATTTGAAATACGGCATTTCTTACAAACCTTTATCTAAAACTTATGGATTTATCCAGTCCCTTGTCTTAATCAAGTCACAAAGCAGCATGCACTGGGCTTTCTCCATTTGCCCTGTAAGGCCTTATTTCCTTGCCAAAAGCTGTTGTGAGTTTAAAGACTTAAAATGACCTTTAATGGGTGTATTCATTGCTACCTCAGTCATCTGCAGCTGTGGCACCATTCCTGCTGGTATATCTGTAATATAAGATCAGTATTGATTTCTCTTCTGGTATTTGCTGCTGGTGTTAGATGCTATTTCAGTGCATCTGGATCAAACATTCTTCTTTTTCTTAGTAGCACACTCAGTTTTCTTTATCAAGACTTGTAGACTCCCCTCCCTGCTTTTGATGGATGGCATTCCATGTTGGTTAGGATGATTTCAAAACTTTTTCAAGGGCATGTAGTGATACGATGAGGGGTAATGACTTTAAACTGAAAGAGACTAGATTTCGATTAGATTTAAGGATGAAATTTTTTACTGTGAGGGTGGTGAGGCACTGGCACAGGTTGCCCAGAGAAGATGTGGATGCCTCATTCCTGGAAGTGTTCAAGGCCAGGTTGGACGGGGCTTTGGGCATCCTGGTCTAATGGAAAGTGTTCCTGCCCATGGCAGGGGGGGTGGAGCTAGATGATCTTTAAGGTCCCTTCCAACCCAAACCATTCTGTGATTCTATGAATAGTTATTTCAGTAGGCAGCTGCTCCTTTAGCATTGTTTTCTTCTTCAAGGTCAGTGATGATGGTGCTTTTACACCATCTGCCAACACTACAGACATGGCTGTAATATACCTTTTTTCATTCTCTGAAGTTTTATGATTATGAAATTGCTGCTGTTTTTTCAATGGTATAATTGGATGATAAGTTCAAGTCAATTGTTATGTTTTCTGTATTTCACATTTGGCTGAACAGATCACGCATGATCTTTATGTAATCCAGTCACATAGAGCTGGAATGCAAAGACTTTTTCAGCAAGTCACAAGGTAGATGCTAAAAAGACCAAAGTTCTCCACTCTGTAAGCAGAAAACCCCATCATTACTCGCTGCTCATGTGCATTCAGCTGTTCTACTGGTATGAAGGTCCTGCTGTGCAACGTTTTCTGCTCATATTGTTCTTTGAGTTTTCATTGTAATAATTTCCTGCTTAACTGGGGCCTCCATCTCTTCTCTGACTATACACGAATTCCACAAAACCTATAGCTTATTTTCCTGTTTCTTGAATCCTATTCAGGGTTCACTGAATGATTTCACAATCAAGTTAGTGTATAAAAGCTTATGTTTTGTTTTCATCTTTGCACGTTTGCCTCCACCGTATTTACACCCAGCTTCACAGTTGTTACTTCTTTTTCTGTGCATGGTGTCACCATGAGTCTAAAACTTGCTTTTCAGCATCCCTTGTGTTTTGGAATAATCCCTTCCGCACTTGTACATCTCATCTCCAAACGATCTGCTATTTTGATCCATTTACAAGACTCAGGGAGACTCATACAACTTGTAAAAATCCCAGTGGGGTTCTCTGAAGCATGATACAGCAGAGCTGGCCGAGCGAGCCCAGGAGCTGGCAGCGGCGGTGTGCTGGCAGCCTGGCGTGGCTGGGATTCGGCTGTGGTTGTGCTCCATCCTCACTAGGGGGGCCTCTTGCCACACAGTGCCCAGGGGAGGATGACCAGGAGCTTGACACCACCCCACATTTTTGACTTAAACTACTTGGGCAGAAAAAAGCTTGTTTTCCTTTTTTGATAAATATAGTAGCTGAGTGCTAGGAGTAGAATTCTAGTTGCTTACTCAGCTTTTGTAGTACTGAAATAAAACTAAGTACAGTTTCCTGTCTTAAAACTCCATGATCGTTTTTGGGTTTGGTTGTGTTAAGACATTTGCAGGCCTTAATCATGTTGATGTTACTTTTATTAGTAGTGCTGTTTGCAAAGTTGCTGAAGGAACTCTGCTGCATATACAATATACATGACTTAGTTTTGTACTGCCTTAATCTCTGCCAGTGCCTCATCTTTCTGTGTATTTTGGGTCCTCAAGTTTTTGGTGAAGGCTTATGTAAAAAAAAATAAACATGTTGCCATGCTTTTCTGTGATACTTAGATCAGACTCTCTTATTCCTTATTGATCTAACATTGACTTCATCGTGTAAGTGAGATAAAGACAGATGTGAAGCTTGAGATTGAACATCAAGTTACAACTTAGTTTTACAGCTAAGTATATCATTATACTGAAGACAGACTATGCACAGGGCATGGTACAGGCAGGGTAAAAAGGGAATGTAGATTTGTAGATTTCTGGGTTGGTTTGTTTGTTTTTCTAGAAGATTTAAGGTGTCTTATCCTGCTTCCTAAAAATTTCTGCTGCAAGATAGTAATTAGCCTTTTACTGAAAATTTCATTTCTTCTGCTAGCGTTTAGCCATCAGTCTGCTCTGTACAACAATACTTGCTGTGACGCAAGTGATCTTTCACCCACATTTGGCCTGGCTGGGATGAGAATTGTTTAGGATGCTCCCCTGCTCTATTCTTAATGCTCTAAAGAATGTGAAAACAGCTCTTGCATGTATACCACTTCTTGACTCCTGTGCAGACAGCTGGTTGTTGCATGGCATGAAGAGCTTGAGCTCAGTGGGTGAGACCAAGTGCTCCCGGGCACATTAAATCTCTCTTGGTCTGGGGGAATGAATGAGCTTGCCATCTGGGATGGTCAGTGCAGCCCTTTTGTCTCCAGCTGCATTAAAACCAGCACCTGCCCACTGGGTAGCAGCATTTTGTCACAAGCCTGCTGCTGCTGGCCTGAGCAAACTCTTTCTCTGGTTTCTCGTAGGATCTGAAGAGTGGCTAAATCTCATTATTTTCATCTGACTGATTTCTTCACTTGTCAAAAAAGTGGTGGTACATTCTTCATAGATCAGAATATACTCTGAATTTTGTATTGTTTCTGGCTGCTTAGCAGTTACAGGTCACTGAGGGTATCATTGTGTTCATCAGTGCCTTGATGATTTGGAAGACTTGAAAGTTTTCATTTTATAATCCATTTGCAGGAGCACAGACTGTCAATAGATCTTGGGTGTGGGAAAAATAATTCTTACAGTATTTGCTTAGTTCTCTTTGATTATATCATAGCCACCACCTGTCCTCTGTTTTCTCCCCCATCCCATAGACTACTCTGACTTCTTAAAAAATATTTTTGAATATTTTTGAAATTTTAAAAAATATTTTGCAAATGCTTTCCTATCTCCTTCCTAACTCATCGTGTACACAAAACATCCTTTGTTCAGTGAGAATTGTTTCATAAGGAGCAATGGCAGATGGTAGCCATTTGACTTCAAGGGTTATTACACAGGGGAAAAAAAACTAGAAGAAAGGAGAATTATAGAAACTTTGCTGGTTTTATGAATAAAACAACTGTTTATCACACTTGAAACTTACATTTCTCAGATAATATGAAACAGAGTCTTTCTGGAGGATAAGCTTTAGAACTTTCCTCTTTAAAAATACCATGTTTAGCTCCGCATAATATTTGTTGTTGGTTGTTTTTTGTTTGTTTGTGTTTTTTTTTTTTTTGTTTTTAGTAATATCCTTCTATTCTTGTATATTCTTAATTGGAAATTTTTAATTTTGTAGAATTTTGATGCCAGGTTTTCTTCTTCAAGTTAAGCATATATATGTCAAAAAGGATTGGGGTGGGAGGACAGCACTGACAGGCATTAAATGACCAGTACAGGAAAGGCTGTGGCCTTAAGCATTGTCTGCAGATTTTTTTTGTTTGTTTCCTTATGTTCACAGACTTTTTTAAAAGGAAATAAAACTTTTTAGAACAATGCAAAGGAGCTTTGTGTTATTTTAATACCTTTTTTTGAGTTAAAAATGTCTCATCATTTATAGTCTTTTATATTAGTAAACATTATTAAAATCTTGAGAATGTCAAGATTGGAAAGTTTCAGGTTATATGCATCAGTAACAAATTCATGGAGCATGTTTTTTGTATACAAAATTTTCAGCGTTTCTTAATGGAATATATTTCAATTCTAGTGTCACTGACTCGTGTTAACCTGGAGACTCAGTCAGTGAGGACTAAAGTTGTCTCAATCTCTTTCCATAGTCTGACCTGAAATGTGTCCAAGATGCAAAAGGAGGCTCTTTCTACAGGGATCATTGTCCTGTGTTAGGTGAGTTGAAGATAAAGTAAATTTATTTTGATGTGTGTTAATTATATTTAGTCTGGATTTCTCTGTCCCTTTTAAATATCATCTAAAAGGACCATCCTTACTAGGGAAACGTAAGTGGTAGCATTTCTATGTATTAATGATAAATTTTAATGCTTTCCTAAATGTGTTTGGTGTCAGTGTGCCAAGTGGATGACAAGGGAACTGTTGAGTGTTGACTAACAAATTGAGTCATGTCTTGTGCACTGTATTTCTAAAGAGCCAAACATAGCTGTCTATTCTTATCAGACTCTTAAATGTTCAGAGGTGTTCAGTGAAGTAGCACGTACATGGCCCTAAGCAGGAGTTATCTGAACATATAACTTAACCTGTTAGTTTATACTAATACTACTATATGAATTCTTGATTTTAGGTTTTCAGTATCAGCTATTGCACTGACTTACTCCTCTAATGTCTTAGCTGGACTGTAGACATGTGCAAAGTATAAACAGTAATTGCCAGGTGGTTTTGTTTTTTAAATATGGGCAAGCTGGGATAGTTTATAGATTATGTGGCACAAATTTCTTAAATATTAATGTGTATTTCCTTGCCAAAACACGTGGCCATAAAACTGGACACTACATAAAATTTTGCTTTTCTTCTTGAGTTTCCTGTTATACTTCAATGCATAAAAAGCTCAGCTGATAATACCGACTTTTCTGTTAAGAATTCTGCTGGTAAGAATTTTCTGTTTACTAGTCTTAATCTGATTACTTGCACAAGTACTTGAAGTATGGCCTGCAAGTACTATTCTTTTATTGACAGCATTGGTGAAAAGGTAAAATACTAAAGGTCTATTTTGTTTAGAAAAAAAGAAAAAATGTTGTCCAAGAAGTCCCTTTAGCTATTTACTGTCAAGTAGATCAGTTGTTTGAAAGTAAAATACCAGGGCACTCTGATCTTTGCGTCGTGCTTCTGTACTTAAAACTAATTGTTTCACTTTTAATCTGGCGTGAATAAAAATAGAAAAGTAATAATAGGGTCTTACTGACTGTTACAGAGGTTCTTATGCATGTCCTTTATTCGTTTTGGTTCTTGTTTTAAAAGTACAGGTCTGTGTTTTCTGCTTGTAGTTTACTTTTAGGGTGATACTGTATTTGAATGACAGTAGGAGACTATTCTTTAAGTTCATCCCCTTCCACTATATTAAGTTGCTCTTAATGGATGATGATTAACTCAGCTCATCATTCTTACCACGTCATGTTCCATCTTCTCAGTCTTATGCTTTTATTTGTCTTATGAACGTAGTTCATAGATATGTTCATGCTGTGAATTTAAATGTTTGCGTGCATTAAAAAGTGGGAAGTTAATTTTGAAGCTTTGCGATATTTGAACTAGAGTGCAAATAATACTCCAGAAGGGTCCTAATTAATATGGGATAGTATGTAGTTAGGGCAAAATAGTGGGACTGATTTTGTTCAATACCACGATGATAAAACAGAATACAATCCTAGACAATTTGCAGGTGACAGCAAGTTGACAGGGATGTAGTTAAAAGCTGTATTCAGCAGAGCCTTGAGGAAGTGAAGAATTTGGTGGAGACCTCATGGAGTTCAATTGGAAGAGCTGTTTTTTGCACTCTGGTTGAAATAAGCCTATGTACTGGGAATTGTGAATGCCCGAGTGAGGAGCCTTGCTGAGGAGACCTGGGTTGTTGCACTGTATACCAAATTGAATGAGACAGCAGTGTGCTGTTGTCAAATAAGACAAAATTCATTGCAGGCTGTATTAGGAAGGTGGTAGGCAACACAATTGGAAAAGTTATTATCCTACTCTTCTCAATGGTGATGAAGCTGTGTCTGGAATTCTGTGCCCTGTTTGTGTCATTGTTTGTCCATCTCCACTTCATTACCCTCCCAGTTTTGAGAAAATGTAGAGAGTCTGATGGTGGCCTGCTAAAGTGGTTAAGAGACTGAGAGGACATGATTTGCAAGGAGGAGGAGCTGGGCTTGTTTAATCTGGTTAAGAGGTAATCAACTAGCCACCTACAACCACTTGAAGGGTGACTGAAAATAATGGCACCAAAATTCCAGTAGTTGCAAAAGGCATAAAAACAAATGGTAGTGGCCTTAAGGCCCCCTCAAGTGACTTGAAAGGTTCAGATCAGATATTAAGATATTTTCTGTTACACCTATAGCTCCATATTGCAGCACTGGAAGAAGTTACTTGGAGAGGTTGTAAAACCTCAGTCCTCGAGGGCTTTTAGGACTCAGATAAGCAAAACTACAGCTGGCTTCAGCTGGTTAGTTCAGCTTTGTGTGGTGTATCAGACCAGATAACCTCTAGAGATCCTTTCCTCCAACTAATGCTTCTATAGTTCTTTGTTGTTTTATATCTCTTCCTTTCTTGGACTTCCCTGTCTCATCAGGGCTGTCTCTGGTATGCTTGCTGTTCAGGTTTTCTATCTATTGATTTCCATATCAGTAGCTTTTCGGAAGAATTAATCCTTGACTTTGTCTTCTGCAGAAGTGGCTGCTTTCCACATTATGTGTGTTTTGCTGTCAAAGTGGAAGGTAGAGACTGAAAGTACTGTTCTATCTGCAGATCCTTTAAGACCAGGACAGAAGGAAGTCACTGGGTAGTCACAGAGGTCAAAGTCCATTGAATATGAGCATTTATTAATGGCCATGTTTCCTTTCTCAGCTGTTGCTTCTTCAGTAGTATCAAATTCTCTTCTTCGCCATTGTGTCCTCTGGAGACTTCTAGGGCTGCAACCAGTACTGCCAACATCAGGCTCTGTAATCAGTCCCCAAAGAATGTTTTTGTGTCAGACTGTTTGTTTGTACTTCCTTATTGTTACAGTGCAAGGACCCTTTCTCCTTTATTACCTCTTGCTTGGAAGAGGAAAACAAAACACTCTCTCCCTTCCCTTAGAGACAGCAATAGTACTAGAGGAACTCTGCTCACCCTGTCCTTTGCCACTGATGTTGCCATTGAAATGACTTCTGTGGTTGTCGTACTCTCCAGTGTTCCGTGGATGGCACCAGATACCATTCTCTGCTTCTGGCAGTGAGAAGGTCCACAGATGTGTTCTCATCAGTTAACACAGTTTGATGTATGTGAATGTATGCCATTTTTCTCCAGCTAATACGACACATCTTTTGAAAACAGGCACTGTCCACGGAGAATGTTTTCATTTTAAATTTGTAGGAGGTTTTTTTTGTTTGTAGTCATCTCCCACTTACAATGTTAAAGATTTTCATCACTGGTCATTTTGGAGGTATTCTTTTGCCAGTGTTTTCTCCACATGTAAGGGCTGACCCACTTCAAAACCACTTTCTGTGAGCCTTCTGCTTATATTTCAGCCTCTGAGTGGATAGATGGCACTTTGTGTATGACTCTCAAAATTATCAGAGCTCTTATGTATCTAGATGTCTAACACCATATGATGGCAGTTACCATCCCAGTTAGAGCCCATAGAGGGGCCTGTCACAAGTATTTAGCATTATTTGCTTTGAAAATTCACCAAGAAAAACACTATTCCATAGCCAGAGGTTTAGAGTTCTTTACCTCTTTGCTCCCTTTACCTATTGGCCACTACAGTTGCAGAGTCACTGAGCCTCAGAAATTAACTTCTGTTCTTTAAATTACATGGCAAATTAGTGTGGTCATGTGAACATTTTATTCTTATTCCATTTCAGGTGAGCAAAACGGTAATAGAAACCCTGGTGGTCTGCAAATAGGTGACCTTGTAAACATTGACCTTGATTTGGAAATAGTACAGTCTTTGCAGCATGGTCACGGAGGATGGACCGATGGCATGTTTGAAACTTTAACAACAACTGGAACAGTTTGTGGCATCGATGAGGATCATGACATTGTAGTACAGTATCCAAGTGGCAACAGGTTTGTTACACAGCCTTCATCATCGATTCTCAAAAACTTCCTTTGCCTTCAGCACTTGTGATTGCTCAGTACCAGAAACCTTCTGTTCTCCTTCTGTGTCTATTAAGATTTCCTTGAGAATTTTTATACTCCTTCTGCAATGTTTACTGAGGACTTACTGTTAAAGATACTGTAGAGGGAAAGGGAAGTTTGTTGCCTTTCTCATTTGATGAAAATTTGAGTCCAAACTAAGGGCTGGTGTTCTGGACTGTCTTATTTTCAAAATGTTTTAAGCAGTAGTTTCTTTTTTAATTACAAAGTATCCCATGGTTTCAAGAGGAATGGTAATAGCAATGCATTGTGGGTTTTCAGGAAAATGGTTTAAGAGAACAGGTGACAAACTTTATGGTGGAAATCTTGTCTAACATAGAATGACTTTGACATGATATATATCTAGCATTTTGTTATTCAAATGAATGCTAGTTTATGTAAATATGGACCAAGAATGGAAGGCATTGGGGAAGCTGTCGCCCAGCCACTCCCTGCAAGCAGTTTAGGTTTCAGCTGCATCTATGCTGACAAGATTTAAACCCAGCTCTAGAGTTGAATCTGAGCTGATACATCCACATGGTTTTGTGTTGTCTTGCTCTCAAGTATTTGGCTTATCTTTAAAAAGCAGCTGATGAATGGAATATCATTTCAGTTGTATCTGGAGACTGACCTGTTCACTTAGTGCAGAAAGGATTAGCAGTGCATTATTCATCCAGGCTTTCCCTCAAGATACTGTTTATTAATGCTGCAAAGTAATGCAAAACAAAGGTGTTGTCCCAGCTGACACAAGCTGAAGGGATGCATGTGGCCTTTCTTCGGACAGTCACAGCTGCAGAGCCAGTGAGAGGAGCTGCTGTCTTGTGCTTTCTTCCCTGACTTTGTGCTTTATAGAGATTTATCTGATGCTTCTCAACTAAATCAGATATCTGAATGAAAGTCAAGCCCAGACCAAATGGCACGTGAAGGAGAGATCACCATTTTATATATTAGAATATAACTCAGCATAAAACCAGCTAAATGCTGCTAAACCAGTTAAATTTATAGTACAAATTAAGAGAGTTTGCTCAAAAATTGAGGTGTATCTATGATATCCATTTAACTGAAGAGTATTTTTATAATTGAATATTGCAGACTTTGACCAGTCAGGGAGAGGACAAGATTCTGTGTTCTTCCCATGTTGTTTCCTGAGAGTCCAATCCTTTGTGAGACAGCTTGGATCTTCTTTTCAACCAGTGTCACCTCCTTTTCTCCCTGGAAAAAATAAACAAACTGTATAGCTACTGTCAGGACTATTATATTGCTGTCAGCTTGTTTCCCCTTAGGCAGAGTATTTCTTCATAGTTTTTACAAATAGTTTTTACATCTCTGAAAATTACCCCAGAAATATTCAACTAATGAGCCACAGACAAGTTTATGGACAAAAAATGGCTAACAACAAATGTGCCGTAGTAACCTAATTGCAGAAAGTTTGTAGGCATACAAGCAGAATCTTGTCCAACAGATGATTTTTAAACATGTTTCATTCTGCATGTTTAAAATCTACTTTAAATGATTCATTGTCTAGATGGACGTTTAATCCAGCTGTTCTCACCAAAGCCAATGTTGTCCGAAGTGGAGATGCTGCTCAAGGTGCAGAAGGGGGTACCTCTCAGTTTCAAGTTGGTGACCTTGTTCAAGTATGTTATGATTTAGAGCGAATCAAGCTTCTTCAGAGAGGTCATGGAGAGTGGGCTGAAGCAATGCTTCCAGTAAGTAGTTGTATGTTTGGATCCGTAGAATGGTAAAATTGTATAATATTTCTAGTTATGATTGGTAATAATACCTGGACCTTGTGGGAGCCAAAGTGATTTTCTTCTAAATTAGAGAAAGTGTATTTCATCATATGTGGTGTACTACTTGCTCAGATGTAGTAATCTGTTTAGCCTGATGAAACTTAGCTAAAGGTATTAGTGACTGTACTATTAAACAATGGACTTCATAAAATTTGTGACTTATTATAAAACATTCTGATTTCTAAATATTTTATTTTTAGTATTATTTGCATTTGGTGTTTTCTTTAATGCAGACTTTAGGTAAAGTTGGTCGGGTCCAGCAGATCTATTCAGACAGTGACTTAAAGGTAGAGGTTTGCGGGACATCTTGGACATATAATCCAGCAGCTGTCTCGAAGGTGGCATCAGCAGGATCTGCTATAAGTAATGCATCTGGTGGTAAGTTTGAAAAATAACCAGTAATGTATGTATGACAAGTATTTTTGTTAATCAAAAAATTTTGATAAGTTCTAGTACATCGTTTGTGTGCAAGGTTAGTAATACTCAGACTAATTGATGGCTAATTGATGTTATACAGTTGAGAATGGAGATGGTGGTGGTTGTTATGTTGATAAGGTGTAAAAACTCCAAATCAAATTTGGATTTCTGTTTGGCCACAGTGCAGGTATGTCTTTGAAGGTCTCCTCTAAGGACTTCAAAATGTAAATGATTGGAAGGGACATTAGATTGGAATAGGGACTAAGGCATGAAGAGAACGTCACTGGTTGTAGCAAGTGGACTCCTTGTTTAATAGATGGTGTGGGATAGCAAGCATAAGTGAGGCATCTCTTACAAGTAGTTACTCAGGATAATATTCTTTTCTTAAAATGTAGTCAGATACCCTTTGACTTATTACATGGGATTTTTTTTGTATGTGTTTATCAGCATTTCAGTTCTGTTGAAACTGCTCTCATTCATCTAATAGCAAGGTAGAAAGACTATCCAATGTGTTTTATATCGTTGGCTGTTTCACAGATCAATTAAACTAGAATGTTTTCCCTTTTTTTTTTCCTGTCATAGCTAGTTGTTTACTCCTCTTCACATATTGCTTTAATGCCAAAAAACCTTTCCACATAGTTTTCTAGACTTTTTCCTAGGGAGACATAAATAGAGTGAGTTTTCTGGAATAAAGACAAAGTCAGAGTGGCTATAAAACTAGGTAGAAGAGTAATATGACTTAGTGTTTCAAATCAGAGGGCAGGATATACCCTAAATTAAGCTGGAAGACTAAGAAGCCTGCTACATCAATACGTAAATTCGTGTTTTTACCTCTTTCCCACCCTTCTATATTTTGTGGTAGACAAGCTATTTGTGGTTCAGTCAACTTTGTTTTGAAGTGTCTGATGTGACAGTCTCAACTGCCTGATGGGTATTGGAGTGCAGCACTTTCTCAGAACTGAATAACTTACAGCTGCCATTTTATGGTGGTTTGTGTATTACTACATACATGTCTTTAGAAACATGACAAATTTAGCTGTTATTTTTCATACGTGATTAGAATTGCAATCTTAATTGTTCTTTATTTAATAATTATAGAGAGATTGTCTCAGCTATTGAAGAAATTATTTGAAACCCAAGAATCTGGAGATCTTAATGAAGAATTGGTTAAAGCTGCTGCCAACGGAGATGTTGCTAAAGTGGAAGACTTGCTAAAGAGACCAGATGTAGATGTGAGTGTTCTGTTTTGGGAGGACCTGTTCTGGGGACCTGTAATACTAAAGGAAGTGAAGCTGTCCTAGATGATCCTTGCCAGTCAGCAGCGTGTCTGCATAAAAGTAGTATAGCTGGTTCCAGTGTCTCTTCTCTCATTTCTTGTGCTATAAAATGTGTTGGGAGTGTGTGAAAGTAGTGCTTTACACCCTTTTTCACTGGACAGATTTTGTGTTCTGTTGTCTGCCATGAATTAAAATACCTTCCAGCCTCTGTCTGCCAGAGTTGGGGCAGAGAACCAAACACTCACAATTAGTGAAGGGTCTTCAAGTTCTTTTGTTTCAAAGAGGATAGTAGGAAGGAGGGTAAATTTTGGGGATTCTTTTGCTGCTGTTGTTGAGGGTTTTGTTTTTTTGATGCACAAAGTACATGCAATCTGAGAGAGTACAGATTAGTTTTACTAACTTGTCTAATCACAGAGTACTGAAAAATTTAAAAGGAAATGCTTAAGAATTATAGGACTTGATTCAAGGAACGTGTTTTAAAATCACAATCAGATGTTTTTCTCACTACAGCAGTAGTAATTTGTGCAGATAAGAAACTAAACTTCAGTTATGAGGATTGATTTGTAGCTCACAATTACACAAAACATGATATTTTGTTCAGACCAACTCCTGTTGTTGCTAAATTAGAAAATTAAGTTAAATACACTGTAGAGCAGAGAACCAGTACCATTCTGAGACCTGTTCTCTGAATCTTGTGTTTACAGTAGCCCAAAGATGAAACTTTTAAATCCATCTATTGTTCAGGTCTTAATGTTTGAAATAAATCCACTTCTTGCTTCTTTCCTTTGGTCTAGATAATGCTATAGAAATGAAATAGCCAAGACCTAGGAGATCATCTATATGAGCTAGAAAGGCAACCGTCTAAAAAACGGTTCATTTGATGATTTCATATGCATGCTGTTGCTTTAAGTTTTCTAATACACTTGCATGTATACTGCTAAAGTGTCTCACAGATGTGTGTGTGTGTATCCTGCAACTTATCTCAAAGTATTGATGTGCTTCCAGGTGAATGGACAGTGTGCTGGACACACAGCTATGCAAGCCGCTAGTCAGAATGGCCATGTTGACATTTTGAAGTTGCTTCTGAAACAGAATGTGGATGTAGAAGCAGAGGTAACCTCAATATTTCAAAATACAGTCTCCATAAGTTTTAATATTTTCTACATACAGAAATAACAATTCTGTTGGAGTTACCTTCTTTTTAAATGTCAGAGCAAGTGAAAAACTGCTTTTCTTACTGTAATTATGTTCCCAAATTAGCCTCCTGATAACAATATTACAAAGAGTCAGTATCTAATTGCTTAGCACCTCTAAGTGAAACATAATGCTAATATAATAGAGCTTTGTAAGCTTGTATGTGTAGTGGATGAAGCACCTTCTTTATTTCCTTTATTTAATTTCAACGGTAAGAACACAGTAGGCTAGCACATTGCCTGTGGCATCCAAAGAAAAAGATATTGTCGGATGCTGCATATCCAACTTCAGATACTTGATATGCTTCTTGTATATAGTGTTCAATTAGGAGAAAGTTTTCTATTCATAACTAAAGCAAGTTTGAGCAGAAAGTAGTAACAGCATCTTTGGGTAGGAACTGCCAACTCTGCTTCCAGTTCTTCAGTTGTTTTGTTTTCTTTTAACTTCACCAAAAATGGAAGGATTTCTTTTGTTTAGGTTTTTTAGAATTACTGTTTGTGAGAAAATTATCTAGCAGCATACTGTGAAATTTGCATTTTGAATCGATTTTGCTTCACTCACTTGCAGAATGCACTGATGTTGCAGCCTCTGGTCATTTGGTGAAGCACAAGAACAACCTGTCAAATTTCTATTATTAAGAATATAAATTAAAGACTAACAGAATGCTTAGAAGTTAGTAGTATGCCCAGTCATTATCTGCATAGCAGAAAAATAACCTTACACACTTGGGCATTTAGCATGATATAGTATTTGGTATACAGAAGCTATAATGTGTTAAAACATTAATGAAGCAATAATGTAATTCCTAGAATTAAAATTATTTTAATTATGAATACACCATTACTTTTAAAACTGTTTTCTGTTAAATTGTACAGATGGCTTAAATTTTATGCAGTATATATTTGCCATGGTCTGGTTTCTGTGAAGTCACTTCGGTTTAGAAGTAGTGCTTTCAGGGTAGTACATAGCATATATTATTACAAACTAGACTAATCTGCTTTCCATCTGTATTGTGTGATCAAAGCTGCTGTGTTAGTCAACTGGTAGACTGATACTTTACTTTCTGGTATAAGGAAGGGTTAGAAGCATTAGAGAGGAAAGTAGAAGCACTGCTTAAACAGCATCAAGATAATATACCTGGTAATCTGCTCACAGTAGAACTGTTAAGAGTTCATGTTTACTCAGGCTTCAGAAGTATCGTAACACTAGCATTTAAAAAAAAATTTCAGGCTTTTTATTTGAATTTTCAAGCTTTTTTCATGTAACTTTGAGTTGCCTGTGAAGATAGTATTCCTACTTAATTATATAGTTACATTAATTATTATAATACTAATCATATATATTATACGACTAGTTTAATGATTATATGTTTCAGGTTTTAAAATATGTCAGCTGTGTGAATTAGTGATGTGAAGACCCAGCAGGGCCATCCCATTAAGCAGAGAGCAAAAATTTAGCCCATTACTTCACTGTTGTGGTGTTTGGCATGTAAGCAATGGATAAAAATCCTTACTTTGCTTACTTTAAAGCTAAGTTGGATATATTTACACTTACGGTTACTGCTACAGAGTCTATACATTCATGATACTTTCTGGGGATGCTCTCATTGTTGTCTTCTCTGTGCTTGTATCTCTGACATAATGAATTTGTTACTGACAGCTCAAAAAGCCTGATGTAGGTTTTGCATAGTAAAAATATGTAGCCTTCTAGTCTGCAGAAATTAATGGGTATGAGTTATTGTATCGACAGTATTAACAATACTATATTATTGGCATGTATAGAAATATAGGGCTTTTAATATTCAGATTTATATCTAAATATAGGTCTTAGGACAGATGCTTAATTAGTTGTTAGCTTTTTCTAAGCATATTAATATGCCATTGTGTAGAAACTACACAGTGGGATTTAGATCCTGAGATTGTTTTGATGATGAGCTAAAAAAAGGCACACACTTTCTTGGACCTGTACTCCTTAAAGCAGGAATTCTATACATTAAGTTTTTATAAAATCAGGAGTTTACGTCTCAAAATTGGAATATTTTAAAACTGTAAAATATTTAATAAAATATATGGGGTTTCATCAGTAAATATTTCAGTGTACTTTACAGACTGCAAATATGAAAAGATAGATTACCACATACCTGTGAAACAAATTGCTCAGTATTTCTCTGTTGTTAAAATCAAATCCTACAAATACATAGTAATATTCCACTGCGCACAAAAATTTAGTTAGAAACTAGTTTCTGGAAATTTTTATTTCATTGAAACCAGTTATATACCTTCCATTTTACCTTTCTCTTTTCTTTGCTGTCATTAATGTTGAAATTCCGTGATTAATATTTTAAAAATTTTCATGTAGTACAGTCTACTTTTATGGATATTAAAGTAACCCAAACTGACAAATTGATGACTTTCATACCATAACTTTCAGTTTGGATGAAACTGAAACAAACTGAATTCAATCAGAGCTTTAATGCTGTGAATCATCATCGTAGAGCCAGAAATTTTAATTAATTTCAGCATCAGGCCAAAATGTCCTTTGGAGAAGTTTTACTAACTGAAAAGTAAGACATATGTAGTAACACCTAACAAATAGTAGCTTAATTGTATGAACAAATTAATTCTCTTATACCATGATTTGGAATCTGTAACGCTTACTGGGTTACAGGATGATTTACCCTGGGTTACAGACTGTAACGTGGTTTGGGTTTTGTTTGTGGGGGTTTTTGGTTCTTGTTTGTTTGTTTTGTTGGTGGCTTTGGGTTTTTTCGACAAGTGGTGGTTTTGTAGTAGAAACCCAAATGAATTTATTTGAATTTCTGATGAACACATCACACAGATTCAGGGCAATAGTTGTGTGTGGTATAGAGTATCATAGCTCATAGAATATGTATGTGTTTGTACAAACAGACTCTTCATCCTCTGTTGCTGTTGTTTGAGCAATTGTTTTAACTAGGTATTTGAATGGTATCATGATTGTCTAATTTTTCTTCCTCTTTAAAGAAATCAAATATGCACAATTCAGTTTAAATTAATCTTCTTATTTAAATGCAAAGGAAACATGGAACATCCTACGTCAAGTTAATGTTTCTACTTTAGGACAAAGATGGAGACAGGGCCGTCCACCATGCAGCCTTTGGCGATGAGGGTGCTGTGATAGAGGTTTTGCACCGAGGCAGTGCAGATTTGAATGCTCGCAACAAACGCAGGCAGACTCCACTTCATATTGCTGTCAACAAAGGTCATCTGCAAGTTGTGAAGACTTTACTGGACTTTGGCTGCCATCCTAGTCTCCAGGTAAAGGAGATACTAATGTAGATTCACTTTGTAGCTACTGAACTTTATGATTTGCTGTATATAGATGCTGTGTGTAGGTGACAGAAGAATAATAGAAAATGGGATTGAAAGGAATGGACCTTGTGGACTTGTGAAGTTGTCTGTCTCAGCATCTTACCCCAATATGTGATCAGTTGTAATAAAAATGCTATTAAATCCTACTTGTTTCCTTGACAGCTAGATAGGCATCTGATTTGTTTTAGCCAGTTGATGTTATCTGTAGATAACACCTGTTATCTGAAGACTGTAGTCATCTGTAATTGTTAACTTTCTCTCCAGATTAATTCCTCCTCTGTTGAATCCACAGCTGTTTGTTCCTTCTGTGAGGCACAGCTTTGCATTTTTTTGGTTGATGATACAGTGGAATGCTTTGTAAAAATAAACCTTTTTTCAGAATTGACCTATTATTGATAGAACTATTTAGCCAGATTCTCTTTTAGATAAAAGGCCTAACATTTTTAAAAGCCCTCATGCATAGGGCCTCAAGTACCATAATTTCACAGGGAGTTCTATCTCTAATGAATGTAGCAGAAGCTGTGACATATGAGTGCAGCCTCCTGTTGAGAAGGTAAAGTAGAAACCTGCTATCAAATAAGTAGGCATCCACATGCTGCATGAGCTGAATGCAGCCGCATGCAGTGCATTAGCAAAACAAATCAGAATTGCTAAGTTTGATAGAGGTTTGCAACAGAAAGTAAAAGCTGTAACGCCCTGGGCAAATCAAGATATGCAGTAATAACACATTTACCTCCTTGTTTTGCCACATCAGTAATCAGGGATTTTTTTCAGAGACAGTATATCAACATAATAAAGATTAGCAAACTTTCTTGAAATTAGTGAATATAGTGATTGTTTATTTATCTGCTTTCACTAGGCTTTTTAGGTACTGTCTTGATCTTGATGAAGTTGAGCTGTTAGCCAGCTAACGTCCATCCAGACCCTATATAGTATTTGTTGAACAGCAGATATAATGAAGAGTCTGTTGTGTTGAGCCCAATAAAGGATGACTGTATATCATATAACAATGTGTGATATATGGGTAGCCAAAATGGATGTGTCTGACTTTAAATTATAGAAGTCTTTTTGAATTGAAAATTTCAGTAGAATGGTGCTATGAAACTCCATCTGGAAAATATAATTGTCATTGAAAATAATGAACTCAGATCCTGCATGTGTACTGAGGAACTCTGATGTGCAGATGTCAGTAGGTGATTGATTTGGTGGATGAGAGCACGGGAGAGTCAGACTGAGGCATGACTGGAATTTAACTGGCCAGCACTCTACTACTCAAGCCAATTCCCTGTGTAAACAGAAACATATGTTAGTCTGTAAACAGTAAATTCAGGAAATAGGATCAATTAAACCAAATAAAAGCTACATAATGTAGTTTTGGTAAACTGGTTCACACTGGTTCAAGTGTTCCATATTCTGGAAATTCTTATTTGGCAGTTTTTGATTTTCACTGTAAAGATTATACAGATTTGGCTTTGTATTAGTGTACTGCTAAAATGTTCAGTTCCCGTGTTAGTCAGTTTGCAGTTGAGTCAGTGTCAGTGACAAAAGACTTCCTGACTTATATGGTGTTAGAGTTTTACTGGAAGCATAAATCTAGAGAGTTTGCCTATATAGCAGCAAATAAGCTTTAAATGGATGTGTTTTCTCACTGTTAGTCTAGGGCATTCCTTTTCAGTCCAACCATTTGGGTCCTTGAGTAAGTAATGTACAAAATGCTTCTAGGAATAAAAAGTATTTTTCCCTTATTTGGGATATTTGAAAAATAAAATGTCAAGCTAAAAATATAAATTCTTTGCCTGTTCAATTATGCACTGAAACACTTTACCTTGTGTAATGTAATCCGGAATTGGCCATAACAAGGTTACAAGCTTAGTATTGCATATGACATTGGCCTTTGTTTCATGGAAAATGATCTGCTTCGGTTAAAACAGATGTGCCCAAGTTTATTACTTGGACTGTATTTTATTTTGACTTGCTTACGCTTTTATTTCACACTGTCATTTTGGTATTGTCTTTTACATGGTTAATGGCTGGCTCAGTCTTAGCTTTCGTCACTCAAAATTCCCTGTCTTCTCCCTGCCTGGCTAGTCTCCTCTGTTCTGTTAATTTTTTTTGCTGTTCTATTACTCATAAAATGTAACTTGGGCATCAACTCCATCTGGATATGAGGCATAGAGAAGTTGATGTCTACACTAGTGTCTTCAGTACTATCAGATGCAAGGCATGCTTGAGTTCTGGTAGTAGCAGAATCACAGAAGACTGGAGCCCTGGGTGACATAACTCAGTGAAGGATTTGCAAAACCCAGAGCAAGATCAGAAAGTAGCTTGCTCTGAACTTTGCAGTATAGCAACACTTTTAGGTCTGAAGAGCTGTTTTGTGTTTGTGTAGTTAGTTTTCCTAGTGATGCTTAAGCATCTTTTTTCTTTAATGTGAATGCATGTAAAAATTGATGTAAGCTGTTTCTGGTTTTAGGATTCTGAAGGTGACACTCCACTTCATGATGCAATAAGTAAAAAACGTGATGACATCCTTGCTGTATTGTTAGAAGCTGGAGCAGATGTTACTATCACCAACAACAATGGGTTTAATGCTCTTCACCATGCTGCACTAAGAGGAAACCCTAGGTAAAAATTTGTTTTTACAGATTATTATTTATGAAAGGAAAACAAGTGCGTGGGAGGGTAGAATTATGGTATTCTTTCAAAGGATCCTTAAACCTGCCTGCAGCTGTTTCTTAAGTTTTGATATTTCTTAGAGATATGTCTCTAATACTTGGGAAGTTATTACTAGAATGACACTACTAGTCTGCTCAGTTTAATGCTGTATTCCGGTGACTCCAGATCTCTGGGAAATATATGGTGGCTGTAAAATCTTGCCAATAAATGTTTTGATAAATAAGCTATTAAGTAAAATCTTAATGTGGGATTTGTAAAATTGTTTCCCTTCTCAGATACTGGCATTGGGAAAGGGATTTGAGTTTCTAAGAAATATGTATTTGTGAATAATTAATAAAGATACCATGCAGTTACAAAGTGATTTTAGGATTGTTGCATTAAATTATATTTGTCAGTATAAGAAACATTTAATTTTGTTTCCTTAGAAGTATGTGTAGAAGGAATTTATTCTTTCAGCTTTTATATAGCAGCTTATCTGAAGCAGCTAGTTTTAAGGCATTTCTTTTTTTTTTTTATTTTGCTAGCTGCATGCCATACATTTACGTTCAATTTTCAGTTAAGGTTGCTTTCAGAAACTATATTGCATAGGTAGAACTTAATGGAATACTTGCTGCATTGCTGGTTGCTGCTTATTTTGTGGATAAATGGTATTCTTCAGAGCCGTTAGTCTATCAAGACTTTAATATGCTAATTGTGTGGAGAATTTGGGATAGTTCACATGAAATAAGAAAATTGTATGTTTACTTGTTTAACTTTACTCAATTCTACTACTTTTCAGTTGAGAGAAATAGGACAAATAAGACTGTGTATTAATATATGGGAACAAAATCTGGATTAGTCTCAGAACACAGCTATCAAGGCTGACACTTAAAATGTAAACAAGCATTTATATATGTATATGGAATAGAATCACACTTCACAAAGTAAAAGTAGGGATTGAAAGTGTTGATAGGAACAATAAATGTGTTTACAGTTTTCTACTGTGCTCATAAAAGGTGTATAAGAGAACATGTCAAGGACCTGGAGAAAGGAGCTTATTTTTGGCATTTGGGAGACAATTCTTTGAAGTCTGACTTGGTAACTTACTCACTTAATGCAAATTCTCCATATTTACATAACAGCATTATCCAGAAGTACTTTTTCCTGTTTCCAGTTACCTAAATAGGATATTTTTTGGTAGTTTTTTGTTCTGCAATGCTTTCTTTAGGCTCTTGTGAGATGTAGGGAAAATGTATGGAAAAAAAGCTCTTCATAGGGATGCTGAAGATTTTTTTTTCTGTGGGCGAATGTTTTAGGAGCTGCAGGCTGTTTCTTTGATGGAGGGATCCAAATTGTAGTTCCGACTGGGTCAGTTTGACGGTTGGCAGAGTGTAAAGCATAGTGCAATTTCTCCCAGAGTCCTCTCTCCTTTACAGAAGCTTGTACTGGAAGAATAGGAAAATATTTCCAATATTAGTGATTTGAACGCTGTGTAGGTTCCCACTCTCATACATGGGTTTTTACTTGCATCTAAAACAGATACCTAAAGCTGTTAGATTTCTACTTTTTTGGTTGCAGTTATATCTGAGCACTTCTGAAGCCTGTAAAAAGAGAGAATCTTGTATCTTTTTAGAGAGAAGTAGTAATTTTATTCATTTAATAGTAGTAGTTTCATTTGTTCACAGCATTAGATGTTTTACAAATCAACCTGGGAAGAAATTAATGAAAATAAAACCAAAATAACTATTTTGAAAAATTTTTAACTTTTTTTTTTTGTCCTGGCCAAAAAAAATCATTATAATGATTTGATTCATTTAGGAGTTATTTTCTTTAAGATTTGAGTGATGGTTGTTTATTTCATTGTTGATTCTGTAGTTCTACCACTGGCCTATTTCTGAATGAAACCACAGGCTTTATATTTGCCACTTTGTTTTTCTAATCGGATATAGAACAATTGATATTACTAATCTGTCAAATGCACCAAGCACAAGCTATTTAAAACACTGTTAAAAATAACCACCTGAACTTTAGCTTTTAGCTGGTATGGGTCACAAGCAGTATGTAATATATTCTGCTTGAAACCTTACTTAAGGACCTATCTTTCCTAATCCAAGCTTTCCTGCTCCACCTAAACTGGAGTTTTTGTGGCTTCAAGCTGTGGTGCTTTATATGGAATATAGGGCACTAAATTTCCCTTAAATATATTAATATATAAAGAAATACTATTTTATAGAAGTTAGATATATTCATATATTTATATAACCATGTATGCATGTGTGTGTATCTATCTACATTTATAAAAATAAAGTACTTACTATGTATGTATTGTTAAAGTCCACATCCGTTTTCCTTGTTAATGATAACAAAATCAGTGCATGTACAAAGTGCGTGGATACCACAGTAAAGTGAACTAGATTTCTATAGAATTTCTTGTAGTTGATATCAAATAGGTATTTGGAACAAATTTAATTTTCATTGCAAAACCTATTCTGCTTTTTGCTTGAGTTCTGATCTTTACTAACAGTAGGGAAATAGATCTCCAAGAATAAAAACCACACAAACTGTGCTGAGGAGAACATTTGGAAGTTTAAAATTTTTCATAAGAAAATTAATACTTATATTCTATTTTAAACGTGAATATTAGATAAACATAAGAAATATAGCCAGTTATGTCAAATAGCTTAGATATTTCTCAGCACTTAATATTCCATGACAGTTTGGCAGTGTTTTCAAGTCGTTAAGGTATAGTATCTTTTGGAGAGCATCCTATTATTAGTGGAATATGTTTATTTTTAATAGTTTATTTCTGTTCATAGCTTGTGAATTGGTATAGAAACAGAACTTTTGGTTTTCATGCTAATGTGTAACATTGAAATGTAGATTGAACATTACTCAGTTTGTGTTGTAGGTAACTTTAAACTTGTGCATGGGAGATAGAGCTAAGAAATCTGAAATGAAGTGTCAGGAAGTTAAGATTTTGTTATGTACATGGTTTCTTGTTCATGATTTTTAACTGAGTCAGTCATATTAAAAGTGCATTTATTTTGGAGTTTTTCAAAGTACTTTGTGATCTTCAAAGCTTGGCAGACTTTGACTTTTCAGTGTTAATGAGATTTTTCAGACAGAAATAAGAGTAAAATTTGAAAATACTGTGCAGATTGGTTATTTTTTCCATGTTATCAACTCTTGGTTATGTTTGATCTGTTCTCATACCTGTGACTTCAGATTTTTGAGCTGAAGACATGACTGTGAAGTGTAGGCGTATTTTATATCCGTTGCCCCAGTTAGTTTTAGCTTTGCATTGTGTCTTGTGAAGAGAGCTTTATTCACACTGCAGCTAGCATCTTAAGTAGAGGCTGCTTTTAGAGCTGACCTGACTTTGCACATGCGTAGGACTAGTTCTTCACAGAAGTAAATTCTGCTGGACTTTAAATAAAAAAATTAAAATATTATGATAAGGTGCAGATTTAATATATTCCTGTCCAATAACAAGAAGTAATTCATCTTTATGTTCATAAACTAGCAAGTAGGAGACTGTGGTTTAAAATGGAGTTACACTTTTTCCTGATGTTTGTCTTAGTAGAACTCTTCTTGTTTTTAGACTTGCTGATGGTTTGAACTGGCTGGCAGTGAAATTTTGCTGTGTTTTGTTAGCTATGTATTTGAGAGGTGGGGTTTCTCACCTGTACCTAGTGTTAAAAAGTGTTTCAGGGACTTTTGTGCTTGCTTTGTGGAGGTTCTCACAAAGACAAGTTGTGAGGTAATCAGAGAGTTGTACAATTATTTTCTAAACCAGTAAAAGGGATTTTTTGCTTTCTTATTTGCAGTTCTGACAGTAGGTGTAGGTTGAAGCTGAGTGTAAAAAAAGCATGCTCCTAAAACCTCTTATTAAAGTATTATATCAGAAAATGCTTTGAAAGAAGACTTTTGTTCAAGTTGGTTTGGAGAAAGAATACAATCTCTGTGAGCAGACCTGTAATTAGATGGCAGATAGCCTGTAGCCATTGAGGTCAGCGACAAATTGATTATCTTTAAATAGTAAATAATGTGCCCAGCATGTGCAAGATGGCAAATAAAAGGGAGTTTCCTCCCTTATGCAATTGAAAAAAGGGGGGGGAAGGTGGGGGGGACAGGAAGAGAAACACCCAGAAGACTTTCCCTCCATTGCCAATGCTGTTCATGATTGCTTTCTTTTGATCAAGTTTTTTTGTTCAGTTCTGTTACAAAGGGCAACAGACTTGAGGAAAAATACAAGAGACAATAGATCATTGGAAAATGTGTTTATTTCACTGTTTACCTATCTTCTTTATAAATGTTGTAAGAGATCAGTTTTCGCTGCATGTGGACAGAATAGTAAATACCAGTAGCTGTTTATTTACAAATAAAACCTTGAAATTTTGGAATACAGAATTTTGCTACACTCCTTGTTACCTTCCATCTTGAAGCTGCTCATAATAATTGAACTCAACTGCAGAGGACTGCATAATTACTTTGAGCAGACTTAATGTTCAGTTTTAAAAATATGAGAGATCCTGTAGTGATCAATGCATAGCTACAGCTGGTTGAAGGGGACCAAATCCATTGAAGAGGTGATTTGGTTCCATTTTACCAGCTTTAGCAAAGCATTGGAGTGCAGGAAGGTTATAAAAATGTGTTACTGAATTAAGTACATGAGCAGTTCACAAAGAACATGTTGCGTTCTTCTGTGTTACACATTTTGTTTCTAGTCAATGCAAATTTGAATTCCTTCACTAATTTGGTGACGGCAAAATAGAAAGCTGTATACCAGAAAGGTCTGTATAGTATCCAGGTTTGTTCCTTCCTCGAGTATTTCCTTGAGGATCTTTGTATGAGTTTCAAATCAAATTATAGTTACAGTTTTAATTTTTTTCTGTCCGCACTAACGAAATTCTACAGCAGTGACCAGAAACTGTAGTCTTCCAATTTCTATTCATATAGAGCTCCCTCGC